TCCTAAGCTTCTGTTAGTAAGTGTTCTTGCCTATGTATAAGTTTTACATGTTTATATTTTATAGATATGGTCGAATCAGTTTTTATGTTTTATAAGATACTTAGCTTATTGATAGCAGAATTCTCGAGGAAGTCTACTCGAGAAGTCTACTCGAGAGGTCTACTCGAGAAGTCTACTCGAGAGGTCTGCTCGAGAGGTCTACTCGAGAAGTCTACTCGAGAAATCTACTTATTCCAAATTTTGTATTAAAATTTATTTATCTATAATTTATGACAAATAAAATTTCTTTGACTCTTGAGTTTGTGTTATTTATTAATCTTGCTTATGTATGAGTTTTACATGTTTTTTTTCTTATAGTTAAAAATTAATTAATTTTCTTGTGTTATTAGGGGTTCAAAGATGTTGATGACTAAGTAAGATGACAAAGAATAAATATGGTGATTACTGAGTAAAATGCCAAAGAAGATGTCTAAGTAAGAAGTTTACTTCAGAAGTCTTTGTAAGAAGTCTATTATGTAATATAAATCTATTGAGATAAACCTCATATTATGTAATATAGTTATACTTGTGAAGTCTACTAGAGAAGTCTAATTGAGAAGTCTGAATATGAAGTCTGACAGTGAAGTCTATTTTGTAGAATACATAAACTCACATAATTTAGGACTATAATACAAAATATTCAATGCAATCCAACGTTACATATAAAATAACCCTCTAAACAAACAAACATTTAAGGGTCACTGATTATAAATATTAAAATTGGCATAGGAAATCACTACTAAACTAAAATGTCTGAAAAATATGTCTGCAACTGAAGTCTGCTCGAGAAGTCTGCTCAAGAAGTCTGCTCAAGAAGTCTGCTCAAGAAGTTTGCTCGAGAAGTCTGCTCAAGAAGTCTGCTCGAGAAGTCTGCTCGAGAAATCTGCTCAAAAGTCTGCTCGAGAACTCTACTCAAGAAGTCTGCTCGAGAAGTCTGCTCGAGAAGTCTATGACCGAAGTCTGTGGCTGAAGTCTGATTCTGACCAATGGCGCCATATAATTAACGTTTTGAACCTTCAAATCACTTCAATCCAGCGGAGACAAGCAAGAGCTTTGTTGAGATCTGTAAAACAAAACCAGAAATATAAATAAGGTCAGATTTGCAACAATAAGAAAAGAGGAATGCTAAAATTTAGATTTGCAACAATAGCTACTATATTTATAAAATTCAGATCTGCAAAAAAAAAATCAATAAAATTCAGCTCTGCAACAATAACAAAAAATTTAGATCTGCAAGAAAATTCTGATCTGCAACAAAATTCAGATATACAACAAAATTTACAATATCTATACAACAATAAAATCCATGGCCAGAGAGGAGGAAGGGGACAGAGAGGCGTTTTTTTTAGATAGAGAGAGACTTTATTTTTAACATAATTATGTTAAAATTTCCTTATATATGTAGAAAATTTTTTGTTTAAGTAGACTTTTTTTTGAAGTCTACAAACGAAATCTACTGGAGAAGTCTTATTTTTGAAGTCTACTCGAGAAGTCTGCTAGAAAAGCCTAATTCGGCTTGAGAAGTCTACAAAAGAAGTCTACTTTGGTCCGAGAAGTCTACTCAGGAAGTCTGCTTAAACCCTAAACCTAAATCAGTTTTTTTTTAAATTAAAACTTTTATGAAAATATTAATTTACTTACCATATTGACAACCACAGTTAAAATAAAAATTATATGAACCCTGATTCATTAACCGAACCATAAACTATGATTCATATAGAATTTGTGCAAACCCTAAGAATTACACTCTTATACCCTAAACTCTAAAACTCAACCACAACCCTTTTGAATTGTATACTCATGAAACTTATAAATTGATCTATTTTCATGAAATTTTATTTTATATAGATACTAATTGTCTATGTTTTAGTTATGTATCTAATTTTTTATCAATTTTTTATGATTTTTTAAATTAATTCTAAAGAATTTATCAGAGAGTAGACTTCTCCAAGAAGTCTACTGGAGAAGTCTATTTAGTATTGATTTCTAACCTAATTTATCTATGTTGATTTCAATTGATTTTTTTTTTGTATCAAAAATTATTTTTAATAGATTGAAAATGTATATGTTTTGATTATGTATCTATTTTTTATCAAATTTTTTGAATGGTAATTTATTTAGTTTCTGGTTTTTACCTACTTTTTTTAAAATATTGTTATGATTATAAATTTTAGTTATAAATATATTTATTATTAATAAATTCACCTAAATTTATAAATAATGATAAAATAATCAATAAAAATATAGATTAACTTGTGTCATAAAATTAAAATAAAAGAAATTTATTATTGCACATTTTTCAGAGATGTTTATAAAAATTGAGATAAAATTGTTTTATGTGTTTTAAATGATTAAAACAAATGTGTGAGATTTGTCAATAATAATATTTATTCTGATTTCTGATTTTTTTTGTTGTTGTAAATTTTAGTTTTATAAAAACTTGAATGATAATTTATTAAGTTTTTTAATATAAAATATTAACTTAATTACAAAATATGGTTTTATGTTTATTTTTAGTTTTTGTTGTATTAAATGTTTAAACTAATACCAAACAATACCAAAACAAATATTTCTTACTAAAATAATAAGTTTTTTTTTTGTCATCAGCTTTCTATAAATTTAATAGATGAGTTTACATAGTCACGATACAAATCATTAGTTAGAAAATTAGGTACATAAAAGTGAAAATAAAACCGATCATTATTTGGTAGCGGATGTTTTGCTAGGAGATCTGCAACAGTATTGTAGTTACGACTTGTCCACTGAATTCAAATTTCTTCAAAACGATGGCTCCAAGCACGAATATCACGTATCCATTTATATGCCCCAAAGTTGAGCTCTTCCCCATTAATCTGATCAATTTTTTTTTTGTTGTCCCCTTCGAAAATAATCTGTTTGTATCCTCGACTCCAACTATGCTGCATTGCCATAAGGAGTGCTTGAAATTCACTTTCTTGAGCATTATTAAGATAGGATCCATGTGCCTGACCTGATCCACAGTAAACACCATTCTCATCTCTAAATATCCAACCAGCTTGAGATATTATATTTCTGCTTCAGAAAGACCCATCGAAATTGCATTCAAGAGGCCCACAGGAGGTCGTTTCCATGATCTAGAAGTTATTTGAGAGCAAGGTAGCGGGTTTCTATGGCCAGTCTGAATCAAGTGAGCTTCTGCTTCCATCCATTCTCTTACATCTGATTTCGCCAATTGGATGATTTTAGTCCAGGGAAGATGTTTTTGTTGAAAAACCAGAAGATTACGACTCTTCCAAATCCTCCACAGAATCCACAGAGGAAGATGCTTAAAATGAGCAAGACGAGTTGACATATTGCACGACAATACCACTTCTAGTTTCTGGGTTAGAGTTGCTAGTTGATCGTAAAGGAGAGGATTTGAAACATTCGAGCTTCGCCAAACAGCTTGAGCATAATCACAATCAAAAACTAGATGTTGTGGTGATTCCTCTGCCCTGCAACATCGTCTACAAATTGAATGGTTACTAATATGTCTTCTCGAGAGAGCATCTCCTGTAGCCAAAGATCTAGAGATCATTCGCCATAAAAAATGTTGAACTTTCGGAGCTGTTTTGAGTTTCCATACTTTTTCCTTGAGAGAAATGTCTCCTGATGGAGGTTGCGGTCTATTATTATTTGGTAGATATGTTGCTAACCAGTAGCCTGATTTAACAGTGTAGATTCCATCCTCAGTATAGTGCTAACCCAACAAATCTGATAGGGCTGAAGAACAAATCTTTATCCTTAATATTGTATCAATATCATCATCAGTCACGATCTCTCTGATCTTTGTCTCATTCCATCCATTCTGCCTATCATTTAAGCATTGAGATACTTTAATATCTTCTTCAATTATACTTCGAGGTTGTGGTGCTCTAGGTGGATGAACTGGAAGCCATTTATCCGTCCAAAAATTTGTCCATGTTCCATCTCCAATAACATAGCGCATTCCTTGACATAGTAATTCTTTACCATGGATAAGAGATTTCCACGAATAAAAAGGTTGTCTACCTGACGGGGCCTGAAGAATGTCTCCATTTAGGAAATAGCATCCTCGAAGAATCCTAGCCATTAGAGAAGTCGGATTCTGAAGTATCCTCCATACTTGTTTAGCCAAGAGAGCTAAATTAAAATTTTCAAGATCACGGAAGTCAAGTCCACCTTCTTTTTTAGATATACTTAGACGTCTCCAAGCATGCCAATGCATACCTTTTTTATCTTCACTTGAACTCCAATAAAACCGAGCAAGTATTCCATTTATTTCCTCGCAGACCCCTTTGGTGAGCTTGAAAATGTTCATCGAGAAGATAGGCATAGCTAAAACAACCGATTTGAGGAGGATTTTCTTACCCCCATGAGACATAAAATATCTGTAAAAATATACATAGATTAGAAAACAAAAAATTATAAATAAAAAATTTATGGTAACTTTTTAAAAATTCACAAATTATGGTTTTTGGTTTTTGTTTGTAAAATGCTAAAAACTATGAAAACTGGTTTTCCTGAATTTTAGAAAATCTATTTCTTTAAAATTTTGAATGGCAAATAAAGATAGTTTTTGAAAAACAAAAACTAATAACTATTCCACAAACTGCAAACATTCAAGCCTTAACGTTAGAAATCCTAAACGAAGCGAAAAAAAGGAAATATTTAAAGTTGAATATTTGACCGTTATCGGTTGGTACTTGGTAATACTTCATTTACCATCCTTTTTTGGATTTGGAAGTTGAAGAGTCTCATAATGGTTCTGTATATGACTGATTTGATTTAGGTTTTTTTTTTTAATTGCTATCGATACGTTGTGAGTTTTCTGATTCGCTATTTGTATCACGTTGTAAGAAAAATGTTCAAGTTTGTTCCGGTTACTGTTAGGTTATCAGATTTGTTCCGGTTATTGTTTCGTTGTTTTATTTTTCGAATTAATTTGAAAGCAGAGAGATTCGTTGCTCCAATGATATGCATAATAGGAAAATTCAGAAAAGAAAAAAAAAACAGAGTTCACCTTTTCTACTTCTCATGTAATGTCAACACAAGAAAACAGTTACAAAAGTTATAAATTCTCTTGGCCACTTACGGTCAAAGGAAATTAATAAGACAGTACCTTTCGCATTTAAGACACTATGCACAAGACAAGATCAGACTCAATCTAAACCAACAACAGTTGATTCTTTAAGTAGCTGGAAACGTTAGATGCAGAGAAGACACAGTTTCTTAGATTTCATCTTCCATGGCCTTCAAGGATCGTGTGAGAAACAAACATATGTATTGATGAGTTCCTTGAACTAGGAAAACCAATTGCAGATGATGCTACCATTGACACCGGCATAAAAGCTCCAATACCTGGAGTATACGGAGAAAAATCCGGTAAGGGTAAGTCCAGGCTTAGGTATTGCACCACTTGTCCTATGGCAGGCCTTGATTCTGGCATAGCATTTGTGCAGAGCAAGCCAAGTTTCAGAACCATCTCGACTTCTCCAGGTGAGAATCCTCTTCCCAATCTTGGATCTCTGGTCTCAAGTAAAGAACCTCTTTTCCAGCATTCACAAACCCACTTGACCAGATATTGCTTTTCCACTGGACGCTCGAGTTCCACAGGTCGTCTTCCACAAGTTACTTCAAGAAGGAAAACACCAAAGGCATACACATCGGTTTCTGTAGAAGTTCCCGTTGTTATTATCTCAGGTGCCATGTAACCTATAGTTCCCACAGCGGCTGTTGCAGATAAGATGCCTCTGGGGTCATGAAACTCGGCCATACCAAAATCTCCTAACCTTCCGTTGAATTCACCATCTAACATGACGTTAGAAGCTTTTATATCCCGGTGCAAAACAACTTGTGTGGCTCCTGTATGTAAGTAACTGAGAGCCGAGGCAATATGCTTAAGAATAGAGATCCTTTGCAACCATGAAGGAGAAGGATTTTGGTCATGAAACAAGTATTGGTCAAGACTACCATTAGGCATGTACTCAGAGACCAGAAGCAACTCACCTCTTCTCCTGCAATACCCGAGAAGAGGAACCAAGTTTCGGTGCTGTAAACTTCTCATAGTTACAACTTCTGCGATAAACTGTCTCATTCCTTGCTCTGCATCGTGGGACAGTCTTTTCACAGCTATATGTCTGCTCAGGGGGAGAGTTCCTTTGTAGACTTCTCCAAACCCACCTCTTCCAACAAGACTTTCTCTGGCAAATCCATTTGTTGCTTTGTACAAAGACTTGTAGGAAAATCTGTGTGGACCGTATTCTATTTCCCATGATTCTCTTACTTCTGCGTACTTGTTTCTCCTGTACCAATAAACCCCTCCGAGAACCACCAGTACAAGGACCACCAATAAGACGACCAAACCAATAAGCAGTGGTAATAGTTTCTCTGGTTCATCTTTAGGAAGAGGAGCCTGAGGGAGATTAGAAAGGTCCAAGCCCTGTAATGATTCTTTGCTCCTACTAAAACTCCACCCAAGTATATACTGGTTACTAGTCAGTTGCCCCGTTGCTCCAGCGAACCCAACAAACATTGTATCTTGAAAAACATCTGAAAGATTGATGGCCCTTGACATAAGAGGCCGGTCTGGTTTCTGGATTTCTATAGGGGCCAGCGAAACATTTAGCAAGAATCCATCGTAATCCACCCATACCTGGATAGACTGCCCACTCAGGAGATTTATGCTTTCATTCTTCCCTGAGGCGTTGGAAAAGTAAGAAGGGAGGGCAGATTCAACAGATATCGGGTTGTTCACATCAATCCCAACATGAGGCTTGTCAAACTCACCAAACTCTATTGTACTAACAGTATCGAGTTCAATAGCTAGCAGATGAGAAGAAGCGGAAGTCCCATTTGTTGAGCTGTTGAAGACGCCCAAGTACTGAGTTGCAATCCCATGAGAGAGATTCATGGAAGGAGAAACAACGAAGGCAATCCCATGACCACCATCAGCTCCTAACTTAGGAGGCACAAGCGCACAGACAAAATGCGTATAGAACGAGAGTGATGAAGAAGATGGACCAAAATCAAATGGCTGCTTGTAGAAAGCATGACCCGTTTTCCGCTGTGTAGCATTTGTCAGCTGCAAAAGCCCACCAGGTAGGATCTTGGCGAAACCATCGATAAAAAGATATGTTTGATTGAAGCCATTGTAGACAAACCCGGTTACTTGTTGACCTGACAAGGAAATCAGATGAACGCAAGAGAAGATCAAAACCAGATGAAGTCTACAAGTCATTACAATTGAAAGAGAGGGTCTGAAATTAATGGATAGAACTTTTCTCTGCAGTAAGAATCGATCTTTAAAGCTTGCTAAACAAAGTCTACTCAATAACTTTAGGAGAAGAAGTCAAACTAAACTTTTTTCAACAATACCAAGTCTTGCACATTAACTAACATTTTTCTCCTAAGGAACTGTAGCCCAGCCAACGCAAATATATTCCCAATAAAGCATCAGAAATTTGACTACATGATTATATAATCAAAGAAACCATAATTATTGCATAATCTAATCCATCATGTACATTAAATACTGCTGAAAACATTTTATGGTCTACTATGGTTTATTCCAGGGTCAACGTAAGCAAACAAAATCAAGCTAAAGTACTTTCCTTTTGGCAGAAACGTTTCATGCTATTCCCACCCATACGAATCTCAAATCCTTGGAGTACAGCTGGTTCTAGCGTTCAGAATGTAGGAGTAAGATAACATATAACCACACATAGATACTCAAAAGCTTATAAACATCTAATCTAAATATATCTTTAGCCAATATCTCTAGTGATTCTAGAGAAACAGTAAACCAACTTTTCTTGATGAATTCCTTCAGAAGTGATCAACAATCTTCAGACTATTTTTTTTTTAGCCAAGCTAAGTGGAATCCAGAGGCAAATTCTATCATTTTCATGTAAATTACAAAGAAATTGATTAAGAAAAAAAAAAATAGATGACCAAGTCACACAATCTCTGATAAAGTATCTCTTAAACGGGAAATGTTCACACAGAACGAAACATTCTCCGGCCAATTTCTCTCCGACTATACCAAGTCCTACTCTAATTTTCTCATCCAGTTAACACATATCTCTTTGAAATTTCCATGATTATCCAAACAATATGAGGGCGTACTCACCGGGGAATCCATATGTTTCCTGATCAATCCACAATCTTCCATGACTCGGAGCTGCAAGGTAGAAATCGGTCGCCGGAAAGAACGAAGACAGCGAGATTCCGGGACGGAGGCGTGAGCGAAGAAGCACTTCAAAGTCGCTTTGTGTTGAGAGTGCGTTGACGCGCGTGCAGATCACGCGTACGGATTTCGATTAAAATGTCGTTTACTGTAATTATTTTATTACTTCAAATTCGGGCTAATGGGCTAGTAACTGTTACCCAGAAGAGTCCCGTGATTCGGCCCAATTGTTTTAAAGAAATCATCGTTACTACTAATTCATGGAAGCCCAAATGTATTAGCCGGGTAAATCAAACCGATTCGATGTTAACCAAAACAAAAATAGACACAATTGAAATGAGATCTATCACATGCAATGGTACGCAAAAACTTTTATTACCTGCCACTATTTGGCATTAGAGAGACGAGACTCGATGTCATCTGATTCCGCAACTACGTTTAGAGAGTTCTTAGATTCCAATGGTTTCTCTTGATCCTTTGAGTTGTTGGCTGATGAAGAAGAGACTGAAGGAGCTGACCAGTTTCTCGAAGTCCACGAGACTGTAACCGAAGCTGCATCGACCACTACAGGAGTAAACGAGCCGATCCCAAGTGTATACGGCGAGAAATCAGGCAATGGCAGGTTCTCGTTTAAGTAAAGAACCACTTGTTCCATCGTTGGTCTTGATTCCGGCACGATGTTTGTACAAAGCAACCCGAGTTTCAAAACCAACTCGACTTCCTCTTGTAAGAACTCTCCTCCAAATCTCGAATCTTTAGCATCAAGCAAAGCATCTTTCTTCCAGCACTCACAAACCCATTTGATCACAAACCGTTTCTCAACTTGCATCCCTGGTTCCACAGGTTTCCTCCCGCAGGCTACTTCAAGCAAGAAAACGCCGAAGGCGTAAACGTCAGTTACAGTGGAAGCTCCCATTGTTATTAGCTCAGGTGCCATGTAACCTACAGTCCCGACCGCTGCTGTTGTTGCCGCGTTGCCTCCATGGTCATGAAACCTCGCCATACCGAAATCACCTAACCTACCGTTTAACTCAGCGTCTAACATAACGTTTGAAGCTTTGATATCTCGGTGAAGAACAACTTGCTCAGCTCCCGTGTGGAGATAAAACAGAGCAGAAGCTATACCTTTGAGAATCACAAGTCTTTGCGACCAAGAGAGAACCGGACTTTGGCCATCAAACAAGTGCTGGTCAAGACTACCGTTAGGCATGTACTCGGAGACAAGTAAAAGCTCTCCTTTTCTCCTGCAATACCCAAGAAGTGGAACGAGGTTCCTGTGTTTAAGACTTCTCATGCTCACGACTTCAGCTACAAATTGCTTCATACCTTCTTCACCATCATGAGACACTCTCTTCACAGCTATAGGTTTGCACTCAGGGAGATCTCCTCTGTACACTACTCCAAAGCCTCCTCTTCCGAGAAACCTATCCTTGTGGAACCCTTTTGTTGCTATGTATAAAGATTTGTACGAGAAGCGGTGTGTACCATATTCCTTTTCCCATGGCTCACTTACTTCAGCGTACTTCTTCTTCCTGTGGTAATAAACTCCTGCGAGAACAGCTATCACTATGATAACAAGTGCAGCGACAGGTGCGATAATGAGAGCATATGGTTTCTTATGCTCAACTTTAGGACGAGGAACTTGAGGAAGTTTTGAGATGTCAAGTAGCTGTAATAACTCACTGCTTGTGCTAAAACTCCATCCAAGAAGATAATGGTAGCTGACCTGTGTCCCTGTTGACGCAGAGAATCCAGCGAACAATCTTCTAATCGGAAACACTTCAGAGAGATTGATGGGTCGTGACAAAAGAGACCGACTTGGCTTCTCAGCTTCAAGAGGAGCCACAGAGACATTGAGTACAGTGCATTCGTAATCAATCCAGACCTGTATAGGATCACCGCTTGAGAGGTTAATGCTCACATCCTTCTTCTCTGTCTCGGAAAAGTAAGAAGCTGCTGCTGATTCGACTGAGATGGGACTGTTCACATCAATGCCAACGTGATTGTTGTTCGTCTCACGGAAGTCTGAGTTTTTAACAGTGTCGAGCTCAACAGCAAACAGGTGAGAAGAGGCAGATCCATTCGTTGAGGCGTTGAAGATCCCCAAGTACACAGTTGGTTGCGCCCGCGTGAAGTCCACGGAAGGAGATATCACAAAGGTGATGCCGTGACCGCCTTTGAATCCAGGCTTAGGCACTAAAGCGCAAACGAAGTGCGTTGAGAAGGAGAGTGGTTTAGAGGAGCTGAACACTATTGGCTTCTTGATGAAAGCTTGACCCATTTCATGGTGAGAATCTTTGGCAAGCTGCACTAATCCATTGGGAAGCAATGTAGCAGACGCATCAAGAGAAAGATCTGCTTGTACAAAGCCGTTGAAAACAAAGCTTGTATCTTCTGATGAAGTTGACAAAGAGATTAGATGAAAAGAGAAGATCAACCAGAAGAACAGAAGCAATCCACTAGACATTGCTGCTGATGAAAACAGAGAGCTTTGTGCAGATCTTTCCTCTCTACCTGCAGATAAATAGGAAGTAAATATGATTATAAAAACTACACATTTGACATTTCTATATTTTTGTTTAACAAGCTGTACTGTAACAGCTTGATAATATTATACAAATCAACATAACTTCACATGGTTTTCAAATGTTCAAATTCAGATATTAGTTTAACAGAACTAATCCAAACTCAACCCAAGGAAATTGCTAGAGTCGTACTAACAAACAGTGAAAAATTATTAGATTAAATCATTACATGTGTCTTGGATTCAGTACCCACAAGCTTTCACCGGATTTTCCTCATATTTCAGCTACTTAAAAATAATTTCTTTTGATGCTTAGCAAGAAAACATATAATTTAAAAATAATACCAGATGAGAAGAAATCCACGAGCCATTGCTGCTGATGAATACGAGAGTTCTCGTTCTCTGTGCAGATCTTCTTCCTCTCTGATCAAACTTTTGCTGGCTGCAGAAAATAAGATATGAGCTTATGTTAATGGTAGTTTTTTTAATTGAATATGAACTCTACATCATATGCCTTTACTTTGTTTATTGGCTTTACAAACTGGAACTGCAACAGCTTGTAAATCTTAATATAAATTAAGAACTGCTTCACGCTGTCAAATATTCTAATTTCAGATATTACTTTGAGACAAATGATCACAGCTTCAGTCAGAAACAAAGCAACTGCTAAACGCGGTACCCAAAAAAAATCCATTAAATTAATCTACTTTAAATCATATTTTATAAGGCCTCTACAGGAAACAAAAGTACTTAAAAAGTAAAAGGAATCAAAGCCTAGAGAAAGCCAAGCAGCCACCTTTAATAAAATATTGAAGTTGGTACATAGAATCAAGCTTAGGCAAGTCAAACAGAGAAAATGCAATCTTAACGTTTAAGTCTTCTCCTATCATATTTAACCATTCCATGAGAATTAAAAAATCAACTATCTAAACTCCCAGATTGTTCTCTCTTTTGGGTCTTGACACGGCTTAGTTCATCTCCATTAGTAAAACCCCAACTCTTAATATAAATTCTTTATCAGCTCATTTTAAGAACTTTGATAATAAATTTTAATTTTTTTCTCTTCTATTGGCAGAACCCTTAATAAGATTCTTAAGAATAAATTTTTTTAAAATTAGATTAGCTAGATGCAATCAATCTTTAAAATTCAAAACTTTTAGAACTCGCACAAAATCGAATCAAGACGCAGCACAAAAGAGAAAGCTTATCTTTTAGAATGTAAAAATGAACAATCTTCACCAAACTGGATGTTCTAAGTCTGTTGCGCAAAGTCCAACAAAGTTTAACACAAGATTAGCTACAAAGAATATAATATCTTTCGCTTCAATTTGTTGTTAGAGCTGTTGGATTCACCATCTTGGAGCACTTCATGAGAGCAAATACGCTTCATGGAATATCTCCCAAGCTTCCTATTTTTCTGGATGTGAAGCCGCGATCCATCCCCTGGCTATTGGATCCATCGGCGCAAATTCCATTTGAAGTTGCGATATCTTTCTCAAACACACAGTAGCTTGAGTCTCTTGATTCGTTAACTACTTGCCACTGTCAACAAAAGCAACACCGAAAAGAAACCACGAGGATCAATGGTTGAGATGCCCCTAGCTGTTCAAAAATGATCCAATATACCCAGTTATTTTTGGGTTATTTGATAACATGTATTTTAAATAGAGAAAAGGAGTAGATATCGATTCTGCTCTTAAAAACTTAACAAAATTACTGACCTAACCAAGAGAAATCCACTCAAACCCTAATCCACCCATATATCGCGGATCCTAAGTCGGATCTTACTATTAAAAACTGCATAAAATCACCCTTCATCTTCCCAATCGATCAAAAGTAAATTAGGGCAAAAAAATTAAAAGAAAAAAGCGGACGAAACGACGATTGATCCTAGTTCGTCGGGACCACTATGAGCAGTTACTAAGAAAAACTAAGTCAAACTATCCAACTCTCACCACAACAATCGATTTGTAGGCGAATCAGAGAAGGTAAGTGTCGTAATCTTGTCGGTTTTATGAGATGGATGTCGATATAAATTCCATTGTAACCGATTTGGATTGGTCATGTAGGCATATGGCGCGTACAAAGAGGCCGAATTATGGTTTAGCTGATGAGGTTCCACTGGAGGTTCGAAAATCTAAGAGAACCTCTCAGATGGTCTATGAAGACTCGGACCCAGAATCTTCAGAGAACGAAGAAGCAGGAGGCAACGATGGAGGCGACGGAAACAGCCGAACCGTCACGGACGACGGCGCGTCCGTTTCTTCAATGGCATGTACCCGAACCATCGTTACTTGGTTTTCGAGTTTGAAAGAATTCGTTGGTTTTGAGTATCGAGTTTGCTTAAAGTACTTTCGTTTTGGGTGATTGATTGTATAGCGAGTCTTTGTTTCTAATTTAGAATTTAGGCTATCAGGTTTTCATTTTCGTTGATTATTGATTGTTTGTTTCGAATTAGTAATATTCTGAGTTTTTAGTAAAACTGGTAAAACTGGTAAAACTAGGGTCATTTCGTATGTTAAGAATTTCTGGAAAAAAAAGTAATACTTGGTACAACTATGTTGCAGGGAACCGAGCCAATGCTTCCGATGGAGATGTACTTCTAGCCAACAGAGTACGTGAAAAAGATCAAGCTGTCTACAAGGTGTTATATCTCGAAAGCAGTGGATCTACTACTAAGTGGATTTAAGTATCCACTTAGACCAGATGAGAAGAGTTGGTTTGTGGATCACCCCCAATTCAAACATTTCTTCCACATGCACAAGGACTCAAACCACAAGTAAATGGGGATGTGGTTGCTGATTCTTCGAACGGCGGTTACGGAGAGGAAAAAGGAAGCCTGGTTCATTGTGAATGGCGTGCCCATTCGGTATGGTCTACGTGAACACGCCCTCATCTCCGGTTTAAACTATCGCAGCTATCCTCCTAACTATTCGGAAATGGGCAGTATGGAGTTCGTGGACAAGCACTTTGGGGCGGGGAAAAAAATAAGATACTCAGATGTGAAAGAAAAGCTGGAGAATATGAAATATTCTCCAGATCGGTTAAGGATGGCCATTCTTTTCTTTCTATCAAGCGTCATTATTGGGCAGTCTAAGACAGGATGTGATGCTACTTGTGTAGAGCGGTTCTTTCAACGAGCAGTCAGTGATCTGCATTTGTGTAGGACATTTCCCTGGGGGAGATTGTCTTTTGATAACAATATGGAAGAGATCCAGCATACTGTGGATCATTTTAAAGGGGTTGTTAGCGGATCAAATTGGACTTATCCAAGCTTCTGCATTCCTTTGGATGTAAATATGAATATATGTAGTACTTGTATTTCTATAGATTTGAAGCTAACTCGAAATATATGTGGCATATGTAGCTTCTAGCATTTGAAGTAATTCCATCACTGAAGAAGAAATTCCGAGAAGTTGTTCCATCTGCGAGGAAAACTTGTCTGAAGATGTGCAAGAGCAAGTTCAAAAAAAGCGCCATGAAAGGATTTTCTCTCGAGGAAGTAAATGAAGCACTTGGTACAACTAAGGTCAGTAATACTTTTAAATTCAAACGTTTTAAATTTTCACATTTTTAATTTATTTATGATTGGAATTGCACTCTTTGTTTATATCCACAGGATATTGATAGCATCTTTGTCCCTTACAATGAGAAAGAAGCTTTTGTGGCTCGAGTGACTGAAGAAGATGACGATGATGATGTCGATGATGCTGTTCTTCATAGTTGGCTGAAGTGTATTAAAGATGAAGACAAGCCGGTCTGTTGTGAACAGATGTACGAAGAAGACGTGGCCGCCTGACTAGAAGATCAGCCCGCAAACGCCGTCAATGCCGCGAACGCCACAAACACCGTCAATGCCGCCAATGCCTCCACTGGTTCCGTCTCTGACTTGGTTGAGGTCGTACAGAGTCTGAAGACGGAAATGGAGCGTGGGTTCAAGAAGATGAATGACAAGTTTGCTGGGTTCGATACAAGACTTGCAGCAGTGGAAGGCTATGTGAAAGAGCAATTAGATGCTCGAAGCATGTATGAGGACGTCAATTATGATGATTACATTCCTCGTTCTACTGTGAATAACAATGATGGAGCGGAAGGAGCAGAGGTAGGATTTGGTTGACTTAGAACTTTAAACGAAAAAGTCATACTATGTAACACTAAGTACAATTGTGTGTTTTGCAGGGAACCGAGCCAATGGATGAAGCAGATAAGGGAGGAGAAGAGGTGGTCCCGGAAGCAAATAAGGGAGCAGAAGAGGTGGCGTATGGAGAGAAAACAGCAGAGGTAAAATTTGGTTGACTTAGACCTCTAAACGGAAAAGTAATACTATGTAACACTAAGTACAACTGTGTGTTTTGCAGGGAGAAGAGCAAGAGCAAGAAGCAGAGGTGGCGGAAGCAGATGAGGGAGCAGAGAAGGAGGCGGAGACAGGTGTTGAGGAACCAGAGAAGGAACAAGAGAAGGAGGCGGAGACAGGCGTTAAGGAACCAGAGAAGGAACAAGAGAAGGAGGCAGAGAAGGAACCGGAGGTAATTTGTCTTTTGCAGGTATCCCTGGGTTGCGGGTCAAATCCGCCCCGCCTGACCCGCCCCGCTGCGGGTTCGGATTAAATTTAACTTCTAAAAAAAGATCCGCTAGACCCGCTAATTTTTAAACGATTATCCGCACCCGCCCCGCCTTAATCAAATGAGTTTGGCGGGTAACCCGCCACCCGCCATATTTAATAATAATAAAAAATTAAACCTGCTAAAATGTAAAATTTTGAAACTTAAAACAATAAAAATATTCGTTAACATATTCCAACGAGCATAAGTTAAACATAGGTAGAAGGTAGGTTTAAAAAAGACAGAATTCAAACTTATCGAAAACAAATTACAAAGAAGAGAGGATTGTCTTGTTTCTTAGTTATATAGTCTCTCTTCTTCCTTTCCTCGTCATTTGGTTGAGTTTCTCACCTGTACTTGATATATATACAAAAATATTAAGTAATTTCAAAATAAACACTAAGTATTTCTAATAAAAGCTATATATATTACATACAAGTTACAAGGTTGAAGCAAACGACTCTGAAAACACCTTATCAATATCATCTTCTTCAAGGGATTCAGCAACCTCCGATTCTGTCCAACAAAGCATAAAAGTTAGTACTACTATAAGTCTATAAGTATTATATCATAACTAAAATTCATAATTTATGTGTTACCATTGTCATATGCTTCGAAACCTCGAAGCCAGTTATGAGTACATAGCAAAGCTTGGACATTTCGTGGGAGAAGACAACTTCGATACTTATTTAAGACCCGTGATCCAATGCTAAAGGAGGACTCAGATGCTACCGTTGTGATAGGAATACTTAGAAGATCACAAGCCATCGTAGATAACTCCCCAAAGCGATGAGCATTGTCTTTCCAATAATCTAATACACTCAGACTTGCAAACATCGACATGTGTACTGGTGGTTCTTCCAAGTACATATCCAATGCAGATTTCCCACTAGCATTTACATTCTTTTTGCGAAAGTTGTAGAAATCCTACATCAATGCAAACAATACATACCATGTGTAAGATAAGATATTTTTAGTAAATGTAACGCTATAGTGTCATGAAAAAGAAAACTAAATAATAAGACACTTACATCATAATTGATGACACCTTTCCCAGCCACTGATCTTTGCAAGTTTTCTTCAGATGATGGAGGAGAGCTTTCGCTTGCTGGCTTAGAATAAGCTTTAAAAAGCATTTTCATCTTTGCTTGCACATGCTCCACCTTTTGTTGACAAGTACTCTCATCCAAATTTGAATAACAATACTCAAGAAGTGATAACTTTAACCTAGGATCCAACACAGCCGCCATTGCAATAATGGGACTATAGTCATGCCAATACTTATCAAATTTTCCTTTCATAGCCTCAACCATCTCGGCAATAACAGCTTCTTCACTGTTCTCATGTGCTTTCAGCCAATATTCAATCTTGTAAACTTGCATGAAGTACAAATTTGAGGTCGGATAAGTTGAACCTGAAATAAGGTTGGTTATCTCATCAAACGGTTGAAGCAGCTCACATATTTGAATCCCTAGTTCCCATTCTGTTTCTGTAGGAAGAAACTTGTAGTTTGGATCAATGCCTTGATAACTATCAAATGCAGAACGGTATTTAATAGCTCTATCAAGCATCTTAAAAGTAGAATTCCAGCGAGTGGACACATCTAACGTCAAACCAGCCTTAACATCGATCCCCACAGAATCCACACAGCTTGCAAACAATTTACTACGAGCCTCTGAAGCTTCAACAAATTTGATACTGTCTCTGATTTTTCCTAAAGCATCACCCATCATCTTTAACCCCTCTTGAACAATCAGATTTAGAATATGGGCAGAGCATCTTACATGGAAGAACTCTCCACCACATAACAAATCGTTTTGTATAACCAGTTGCCTTTTTAGAATATTTTGCATGCTATCGTTGTTACTAGCATTATCTAAGGTCAAAGAGAATACTTTTTTCTCTATACCCCACTCTTTCCACAGCTCTATAATCTTCATAGCTAACTCTATTCCAGTATGAGGAGGAGGCAACGCACAAAAAGACAGAATCTTATTTTTTAATTTCCAGTTTTTATCTACATAATGCGCTGTCAAGCAAATATACCCTTCCACGGTTATTGCAGACCAAAGATCAGATGTGAAGGAGATCCTACCAGGAATTTCAGACAATTCTATCTTCAGCTTTGACTTTTCATTTTCATAAAACTTAAACGCATCTGCTGCAGCTGTTTTTCGACTTATAAATTTCACATCAGCATTCAAATACTTCCAGATCGACCTAACTCTAGCATACTCTACATAAGAGAAAGGGAGATCATGCTCAATTATGCACTTTGCTACTAGTTCACGGAAAACACTTTGATCAATCTTCCTAGCTTGTAGTTTCCCTTCTCCAGTAACCAACATAGCGCCTACATCTCTAGACATTCCAGTGCACACTAGTGAATGGCGATTATAGTTCGACGTACCTTGCTTGTGTGATTCATAAGCATAGTCTTTCATGCAGTGATTGCACTTAGCTCTTAATTCAGCGACACCTTCATTATCAACCTTAGTGATGACAGTGAAATTATCCCACGCAGGTGAGTTTTTCTTTCTCTTGCTCTTGTTCTTACTTGCGAGAGAGTCACCCTCGCTGCCACTTCCAGCACTCGGATTCATTGGCACATTCCAACCACCAGCTTGTTTTTGCTTATCACATTCCATTTTCAGGTTCTGTTAAAAACAAAAACAAAAACTCAATTTCAATCAAATGGTCCTTCAAGATTAAGAATCCAATTCCATAAGTTGTTAGAACCCAATTTCAATTAAATTGAGATAGATAGAGTTACGAGAAGATATACATACCTGGTGACAAAAAGAGATTTGTAGAACGATCAAAGATGAGAGACGCAAATGAAAGAGATTTGCGATTAATAAAGAGTTGTTTGTTGATTTGCAGAGATGCGAGAAACAAAGAGATTAGAGTCGAGAGTTAGAGAGAGATAGAGAGACAGCGAGACAGAAACATGTTGAAATACAAAGGGAGAAAATCGATTTTGGAGAGATGATAGAAATTTGGTCGTCGGCGTCGGGGATAGAGTGAAGAACGAAGATGAAGAAGAGAAAAAATAGGATTTTTCTTTATCTTTTAAAACGACACATAGTTTGTATAAAAACAACACTTAGTCTAATTGTACAACATAAAAACGGCACACAAACACACATTAGAAAACCTAAAAATAAAACGACACATAGTTTAATTCTAAAACATAAAAACGACACACACAATCACACTAAAAACAAAAAACAACACACTTTTCACATATGAAGCGGGTATCCGCAAATCCGCTTCTCAAAAAAATCCAACCCGCACCCGCTCCGCCATACCAAACGTCTGACCCGCACCTGCTCCGGTTGTTTCAAATTTTAGTTTTGGCCAACCCGCACCCGCCCCGCAGCGGGTCAAACGGGGCGGGACCCGCAGATAATGAACCAAATTCCCAGGGATATTTGCAGGGAGTTTCACTGTTTGTGTTTTGCAGGGAGTTTAACTGTATGTATTTTGCAGGGAGAAAAGAATGAAGCGGCTAAGGAGGCAGAGGAGGAAGAGGCAGAAGAGGCAGAAGAGGCAGAAGAGGAAGAGGCAGAAGAGGCAGAGGAGGCAGAAGAGCGAAACGGTAATTCTCCTTCAATAATGCGATGTAGCAGTCTTATAAGAGTAGGAGGCAGATTGCTGAGGGTCCCTAACAAGTGTGTGGCTGCTGTTTTATCTAAAGCTAAGGAGATAGAGGAAGCTAAGGAGGCAGAGGGAGCGAAGGAGGCAGAGGGAGCGAAGGAGGCAAAGGTAAATTTTCTAATTCTTATACCCTAAAACAGAAATGTCACACTATGTAACACTAAGTAAAACTATTTGTGTTTGCAGACAGAAGGGACATCTTCCACGGGGGGTAAGCAGGTGTATCGAAGAAAAAAAAAAGGTTCACAGTCCCAAGTGGAGAAAGAGGCAGCCGACGAACCCCATAAGAGGAAGATAAAACGTTCCCAGCATGTGCGACCTCCTTACACAGAGGAAAAAGCCAAAAGGGGCAGGAAAAAATAGTCTACTTGGACTTAAAACATTTTCTATTTTGGTTTTCAGTTGGACTAAAACTCGAATGCTGATATGTTGTTTGGATTTAAAGTTTGGATTTAATGTTTGGATTTAAACGTATTTCATTTGGTATGGTGTTTTAAGTTGTTTGATTTGGATTTCGAATGTTTGATTTGATATAAACACTAAAAATAGTTATAAAACATTGAAGTGTAAGGAAACGTTAGTCTTGAACAACAATTAAAACAACAATTAAAACAACAATAAAGGAAATTGCAGATTCGTTAAGTCTTGAGCTTCGCTATCTCTTCGGCTTAGATCTGAATCTGTTTTCGCATTTTTTCAATCCTCTTGCTCTGCTCTTCAACTTTCATAACTAGCTTCTCAATCTCTTGTTCGACTCCGAAAACCCATGGCTGACGAAAGTGGAGTCCATCATCCTAGCAAAGAAACAAAAAAACGAGCAACATCCATTATAATTATACCTAGTTTTACCCAGAAAAAAACCCAGATCTGAAATTATAGAGATTATACCTTAAATTTGGTGCAGGTGAAGTAACTACTGCCTGGTTGAGTATCGAAATCGTGTTTAAATTTTGGAGAAGGAGATACATCGTGCTTGATAGATCCACCACATGGGCATCTTCTCGGAATCCCATATCGGCCGTTGGCGATGAATCCAACCATGTCCCAATGCTGCTTCATCTTCTCCATTTCCTTGCGGCGCCTCTTCTCTTCCTTCAACTCCTCCTCGTATGGATCGATGAGGAAATTGTTCGTGTAGTGATAGCAACAATCCGAATCCATTTTAAGAGAGAGAGAGAGAGAGATCGACTAACCTAAAGAGATAAGAAAGAACGAACCCGAGCGAAGGTGAGAAGAGAGAGAGAGAGAGAGAGAGAGAGAGAGAGAGAGAGAGAAATTGTCCTTCAATAATGCGATGTAGCAGTCTTATAAGAGTAAGAGGCAGATTGCTGAGGGTCCCTAACAAGTGTGTGGCTGCTGTTTTATCTAAAGCTAAGGAGATAGAGGAAGCTAAGGAGGCAGAGGGAGCGAAGGAGGCAGAGGGAACGAAGGAGGCAGAGGGAACGAAGGAGGCAGAGGTAAATTTTATAATTCTTATACCCTAAAACAGAAATGTCACACTATGTAACACTAAGTAAAAATATTTGTGTTTGCAGACAGAAGGGACATCTTCCGCGGGGGGTAAGCAGGTGTATCGAAGAAAAAAAAAAGGTTCACAGTCCCAAGTGGAGAAAGAGGCAGCCGACGAACCCCATAAGAGGAAGATAAAACGTTCCCAGCATGTGCGACCTCCTTACACAGAGGAAAAAGCCAAGAGGGGCAGGAAAAATAGTCTAGTTGGACTTAAAACATTTTCTATTTTGGTTTTCAGTTGGACTAAAACTCGAATGCTGATATGTTGTTTGGATTTAAAGTTTGGATTTAATGTTTGGATTTAAACGTATTTCATTTAGTATGGTGTTTTAAGTTGTTTGATTTGGATTTCGAATGTTTGATTTGATATAAACACTAAAAATAGTTATAAAACATTGAAGTGCAAGGAAACGTTAGTCTTGAACAACAATTAAAACAACAATTAAAACAACAATAAAGGAAATTGCAGATTCGTTAAGTCTTGAGCTTCGCTATCTCTTCGGCTTAGATCTGAATCTGTTTTCGCATTTTTTAAATCCTCTTGCTCTGCTCTTCAACTTTCATAACTAGCTTCTCAATCTCTTGTTCGACTCCGAAAACCCATGGCTGACGAAAGTGGAGTCCATCATCCTAGCAAAGAAACAAAAAAACGAGCAACATCTATTATAGTTATACCTAGTTTTACCCAGAAAAAAACCCAGATTTGAAATTATAGAGATTATACCTTAAATTTGGTGCAGGTGAAGTACCTACTGCCTGGTTGAGTACCGAAATCGTGTTTAAATTTTGGAGAAGGAGATACATCGTGCTTGATAGATCCACCACATGGGCATCTTCTCGGAATCCCATATCGGCCGTCGGCGACGAATCCAACCATGTCCCAATGCTGCTTCATCTTCTCCATTTCCTTGCGGCGCCTCTTCTCTTCCTTCAACTCCTCCTCGTATGGTTCGATGAGGAAATTGTCCGTGTAGTGATAGCTACAATCCGAATCCATTTTAAGAGAGAGAGAGAGAGATCGACTAACCTAAAGAGATAAGAAAGAACGAACCCGAGCGAAGGTGAGAAGAGAGAGAGAGAGAGGGAGAGAGGAGGAAACTCGATCTGAGAAGTGAAAGAAATCCCTAGGACCCCGATTTCTACAATTTACCCTAAACCGGGAAAAACCGTCCTGAATTTCCAAAAATTTCCCGCTCCTACCACGTTTGCCACCAAAATAACACGTGCGCCGTTTTTTGCTTACGTGGACGCCGCCAAAATTACATTTAGTAATCCATAGTTTTTTAGTTATACTATTTTCAAATAGTTGTACTTTTGGGTGTTTTTTAACTTTATATAGTTATACTCCGCAATAAATTTCCTGTTTGTAGTTTTACAGATGATTTTAGTCCTTCTGTTGTTAAGCCTGAGGGTTTTATGCATTAAAAATGTTTTAAAACTCATCGTATCTGTCTATGGCTTCATATGGTGGTTAGTATTTAGAAAGTGTTCATAGAAGTGTATGGTGTTTGTTGTGTAAATGTTCTTTATTTGATTGTTTCATATTGAATGTAGGTTTTTCTAATAATTTTAAAAATAAAATATAACTCTAAATAAATTAATACAAGATTTTTTCATATCGAATGTTCAAAATTCAATTAAAAACAAACCGACTCTTGAATACATTAAAAAAACCGTCTTAAATACTATCAGTTGCACCAGTTGTTCCAAGTGTTCCGAATACACAAAATAAACACAAACGAGCTACACAGCATCACCAGCCTCACTATTACCACTAAAGAAATATGACCACATCCCTCCTCTTCCTCTTCCCATTCCTCTTCCTCTCCCTCTCCCTCTTCCTCGGTGTTCTCCAGCTGATGGGAACCGGTTTTCTTGAGATCTTCCTTCCTTTGCGACATAATCTGGTGGTATGACAACCAGGTTTTATATATGCTCAGGAATAATCCAATCAGACCTGTGTGGTACTGGATAAATCGTCCTGCAGTACGCTAATGTCCATAGCTCCATCCAATAATATTTCGAGCAAAACTCTTGTAGATAAAGTTCCCGGCCTCCGCTCATAAAGATGGCAGCAGCTATTGCATGCACACATGGGTATCTGTCTATATCAAAACACTTGCAACTACAGCTTTTCCTTTTCATATCAACCAAATAGCACTTGCCGTCTTTTCCAATGACACTGAATTCAAGGAAGAAGGCGTTCAACTCATGCACCGTTAATTTCTTCGCTTCCGGTGATCTTTTATGCAGTTCTTTCTCCACATAAGGTACAAGCTTCTGGGTGCTTGATATTTCAGAAGAACTGTTCCTATGCTTGTTAAACCATTCAGCCAGCTTATCAACAATCACATCAATCATTGGTAATATAGCGTACTTCCTTGATTTCCTAAGAACACCATTAATAGATTCTACAATATTAGAGGTGTCTATGTTGTACTTTTCTCCTGGAAAATATCATCTTGCCCATTTGTCCACAGGAACACTACCATCGAGATACTGGGCTGCGGAAGGATACTTGGTTCTAAAAGCATCAAAAAGTGTCAGGAACTCACTCTCTGTATACGCATGAGCGCATTCTTTGAACTTCCGAACGCATATATCTTTGTTGACGTTGTATTCGCTTTTACATTCTGAGACAAATGTTGAATACAATACCCATGCTGAGACAACGGAAACACCGCCTGCACAGACTTGATGAGGCTTGAGTTTCTATCAGAAAGAAACACCAATTCAGGATCATCCGGTATCACTGATTTCAACCTGTTCATAAACCACATCCAACTAGCATCTTTTTCACTATCAACTACACCAAACGCAATTGGATAATGGTGATGATTAGGATCTTGAGCTGTAGCAACTAACAAAACACCACCATATCCAGTCTTAAGGTGGGTTCCATCCACAACAATGACTTTTCTCATGGCTTGGAATCCCTCAATGCTAGCTCCTAACGCAAAGAATAGGTACTTGAACTTTTTGTTTTCGTCCAATTCCACATAAGTCTGTGTACCAGGATTCATCGACTCCAGCATGTACATATAAGAATACACCAACTGGTAACTCTCGGCTGGACTTCCCCGCACATCATTTGCAGCTTGTTTTTTCCCCCTCAAAGCAGTAGAGTATGATACTTTTACCCCAAGTCGTCCTTGAACCATATCAATCAGATGTTTTAGAGTTGGAGTGTCAAATTTACCCGGATAATCTTCATGTACAACAGATGCAACCAATCCCGGTGTCCCTTTCCTTTTATTTCTGACTGTAACTGTAGAAGCTCGAGAGCATGTGTGCATCTTGTTGTAAGTTCTTACCGAGAAACAATCTGATTCCATCAACTTTGCAGCTCGTAAAGACCACTTGCAACCATTTTTTTGCTTCGCGACATTTCACCACGTATCGCTTTTTGTCAGACTTGATTGTATCAACCTCAAAACAATTCTGATGTGAGCCTACATGAACTAAATCTTGCACAGTCTTCTTACTTCTAAATTCTTGACCTACAATCATTTCAATACCATCTTCCCAGCCATTATTTACTGCTACTTCTTCTATAGCAGGTCCATACTCAATATCATCAACCTCTTCCCTGGACACATTTCTTTGTTCTGCTTGATGGCCTTCTGATGGTTCACCACCATGAAGAGTAATTATACCAGCATTAACATCCATACCACTTGAAAACACCTGCTCATTACCTGGACCATTTACACTTTCGCGATCCTCTCTTGAAGGCCGCACAACACCCTGATCGACATCTTCCACGATCTCTACGTGCAAAGCACTTCTACATGTATCGTTATTCACTTGCATCAGGTAGCCAAAAACATTCTCATTATTCCAGATATATGATGGCTTAGGATCCACTACCAATGGAAAGTAACTGACTTTCAGCTGCGTATTAGCTTCATCTATCTTCATCTTCCTGCATATTCCACTGATCAACCCAGCATAAGTTACCTCCTCAACAGACGTCTTCATCACTTAGGTGTGAATTTCATCTTCTCTTGATGCCCATCTTATGACATCACCTTCCTTTGAATAAGATCCCTCATAATCGAAGCATATAATAGTGAAACGACTTATATTCATTGTCCCCTGAACAACAATAATAAATATCATTAGTATATGTCTCAATATATCATTTCTCTTACTAATACAAGCAGTAATACTAGTACAGTTATACCCAGTTGTTCCCGTAATACTACTTTTATCAGTATTACCAGTTTTCTAAACAATGCTCAGTAATACCAGTTGTTCTCAGTAATACCTGATGTCTTAGTAATACCAGTTGGTCCAGTAGTACTCTGTTCGTGTACCCAGAAAATTTCTATTTATCTACGAATCTCCAACGATTTACTACGAATCGGGATGATTTGATGTTCATTTAACGATTATAACTGCTCCTATTTACCGAACTAAAACCCTTAGCAAAGAATTTCAATTATTCATTCATCCACAAAAAATTCAGAACAATGGCGCCATTTGGAAGACCAAGAGCAACAATGTGTAGCACTTCCTATTATTCTAAGATTTATAGCGTATGTAAAGGAGATAATGTGGCAACAGACTCACCTTATAAAGTTTCCATACAGCTTCAAGATGGAGAATGTTGGGTATTGGAAAACAGGAGGAATGAAGAATCCGCCAACCAGCGAAAGGGACCATGAGGAAGATAAAGATGTGGGGCCCGTCGGTAGTTGAGATTTAGTTGAGAATTAAATTAAAATATTATGGATTTGTTTTTCTTTTTATTTATATCATTAATTTCGGATATTATTATTTTATTGAAGAAGGGTGAGGGCAAAATAGAGAGAAGAATGAGGAGAGGGCATTGAGATTAAGAGAGGGGTTGTCAGATTATTTTCAAACACTTAAGGGAATATTGGCTCTTTGTCCAAACCATGAAGAACAACACAATGAGCACAAAACAGGACGAATCTCAACTCTTTTACAAAGAGTTTTAATATGAGATGTTCCTTCTATGTTAAACTGAAATCTCAAATATCCCCTTCTAATTTTATTTCGTTTTCAATTAATTTTAATTCAGAAAAGTATTGAAACTTACTGAATTACAAGTATTTACATTAAAACCTGGTATCTATCCACCCACCTAATTAAAATCGGATCTAGCCCTAATCCAAAACTAAAATCCCTAACCCAAAAAAATTCAATCCAAAACAACACTCGTCTTCCATCACCCCCGAAACTATCGGAACACTCGTCGGAACCTTGAAAACTCCTTCATAAAACTCTAACTCCTAACTACTTCATTTCTAATTCACTCAATTTCAAACCGCTTCCATCTCCTCTCTCTCGATCGTCTCTATCTCTGCACTTTCAATCGGATTCAATGGCCAGGACAAGATGGACAACAAAGAGGAAGAAGAAGAAGACTGCTAAGGTTGCGAATCCGCCGATTGCTGAAGTGGAGAAGGGTCAAAGCAGTTGGGGTCCGTCGATTGATGCCATTGAAGAAGAGGGTGAAGGAACTACGGTTCCCATTGGCAAAGAGGGGGAAGGATCTAGGGTTCCTTTTGAAGAGAGACATGAAGAGAATGATGACGAAGAGACTGAAGAAGAAGGAGATCATGTCTCAAATGAGAACGAGAATGAAGAAGAAGAAGAGAAAGGAGAGAGTGACAATGAAGAAGAAAACTCCAATGAAGAAGAAGACAATGAAGAAGAAGGAGTCAATGAAGAAGAAGACGGAGAGGGCTCTGAACAAAACTCGGCGGACGGGGAAGATGAAAGTATTGTAAGTATTTCGATTCCATTGGATTGGATTAAGAGACATGATCTCATATACCCTTCAATCTCAAAATATAATCTCTTATATCCCTCATTAATCTATATAGCCTCCCTATAATTGAATTTTCCATTTTACCTATAATGAATTTTAACAAAAACTAAATTAATTTAATTAAAAAAACAATGTCACCTCCTCTCTCTCCTCTCTTCCCGTGCTCCTCTCTCTCTCCTATCTCTGATGAGGAC